TGAAATAACCTTACTTTAAAAATAACATTTTTTCCACTATAGGGTTCTTTTCTTTTAGCATAGACATTTTTGAATATATTTGTCCTGGCTGGCAGTTTCAGATTCATCTAAATTTATAAAGTTTGTTGTTGTTTATTGCTTCAGGATACTGAATTTCAGTATTGAAAAATCAGCTGTGACGTTTTTAGTCATGCAGGATAAAATGCATTGTTTCAGTGTAAGGATTGTCATCTCTTAGATTGTCCATGTGATATTATTTGTTCAATAAAACTTCCTTACATATTTATATATTATAAATATGTCATGTACTTATTGCCTTTTGGTTTCTGCTGGTTAATGTCCATAATAAAGCTATTTGTATTTCCTTTTGGTACAATTCTATGATTCTGATTTCCCAATTTTTATACCGTGTTTCCCCAAAAATAAGACCCTGTCTTAAATATTTTTGAACTCTGAAGTAAGCGCTTGGCCTTACTGTCATGCGCTCAAAAGCCCGATTGGGCTTATTATCAGTCTTATTTTGGGGGAAACAGGGTATTATTTCTAGTTTGTTATCTTAAAATGTAGTATTATAGAGCTTGAGAGTAGTCATTGTCTAAGGTAGTAACTGAACCCTCTAATCCTGCAGATTGTTATAGACAATCTTTCATGAGTTAATTAATTTTGAATCCCCACAACAAAAGTGAGAAATTAAATCGGCTATTGTAATGAATAGTTTTAATTTACACTTTCTTTTCCTCTATTAATGGAACTGAGAGTACAAAAGGGTACCCTTTCTTGTTGAAGCCTCCCCAATATCATTTTTTCAGCTCTTCTTAAAATGAAATTCATGCTAAAACGAGCACAGTGGCCACATCTTTCATTTGATAAGATACTTAAGGTCATTTTCCAATAGCCTTGGCATACACATTGCTACCCTGATAAAGCTTGAACAAGCAGTTCTTTCAGTATCTACAATTATTTAATTTTAAAATGAATATGGTATTGAATCCAAATGGCTTAAGATGGCTTACAATCAAAATATAACATCAGTATCAGCAATGTACATAACAATGCATATGGTATATGCCTATATACCTTAGAGTTGCATGCCTATTTTCAAGAGTGCAAATTGCTGAGTGAACATTACCTCTGTGTTCATTTCAAATAGGCAAAATATTTGGAGAAATTTTGCTTATCTTATTGTGTGCTATGTGTGCATTGGAAATGGATATTGTACATTTCAAAGTTTTAATGCCTCATATATGCATACAAAATCTGTAGTCCTCCACAATTGTTGGATTTCAGCTCACAGCAGCCCCAGCCTTTATACCCAGTTGTAAGCTGAGTCTGATTCTCTACTCCATTTTGTGGCTTGGGGAGAATTTCACTTCATTTCTAAATCTATTGCTATAATTGACTTCAAACGATCATTTGAGGTCATTTATTTGCTAATTTTAGCCCACAGTCAGAGTCCTTTTCCAAATTTAACTTGTATAACCAAGACTGATGGCGAAATTCAGATTCATGTAGTTTTTGATTGAACTTATTCTGCTAATATGAATAGTTATTAGTGTTTTGAAATAAATCTCATATTTAACTGCCCAGAGAAATAATTTATACAAGTTCTGGTAATGTGATAGATTCTTTTAGAGAACCCCATGAAATAGGTGAAGGTGAGACAGAGAAATATATTGCTGATTATATGATTAAATGTGGATTAAACAGCATCACCACCAGATGGATTCGTAACTGGCTGACCAATCACACTCAATGCAGTCCTCAATGGAACTGCATCTACATTGAGGGAAGTATGCAGTGGGGTACCCCAAGACTCTGTTTTAGGCCTGGTACTTTTCAACTTCTTCATCAATGATTTGGACGAGGGGATAGATGGGGAACTCATCAAATTTGCAGACGACACCAAGCTAGCAGGAATGGCCAATACTCCAGAAGATAGGCTTAAAATACAGAAGGATCTTGACAGACTTGAACATTGGGCGCTATCTAACAAAATGAAATTCAGTGGTGAAAAAAGTAAGGTTCTACATTTAGGCAACAAAAAATACACAGGTACAAGTTATATGTGGTACCTCGCTCAATAGTAGTAACTGTGAGAGGGATCTTGGAGTCCTAGTAGACAACTATTTAAATATGAGCCAGCAGTGTACAGCAGCTGCCAAAAAAGCCAACACAGTTCTAGGCTGCATAAACAGAGGGATAGACTCAAGATCACGTGAACTGTTAATACCATTTTATAATGCCTTGGTAAGGCCACACTTGGAATACTGCATCCAGTTTTGGTTGCCATGATGTAAAAAAGATGTGGAGACAAAAGAGCAACAAAGATGATTAGTGGACTGGAGGCTAAAACATGTGAAGAACGGTTGCAGGAACTGGGTATGTCTAGTTTAATGAAAAGAAGGACTAGGGGTGATATGATAGCAGTATTCCAATATCTCAGGGGCTGCCACAAAGAAGAGGTACTCAAGCTATTCTCCAAAGCACCTGAGGGTAGAACAAGAAGCATTGGGTGGAAATTAATCAAGGAAAGAAGCAACTTGGTGGTCTTTCGGGTGCGCTTCAAGGTTTTGGTCACCACCTTTAGAGCGCTTCATGGCTTAGGACCTGGTTATTTATGGGACCGCCTACTACCACAAGCAGCCTCCCACCGGCCGGTATGCTGTCATAGAGAGGGGCTCCTCCGGGTGCCGTCGGCCAAACAATGTCGACTGGTGGCCCCCAGGGGGAGGGCCTTCTCTGTGGGGGCACCCACTATCTGGAACGAGCTCCCCCCAGACATACGGAGGATCCTGGATCTGCGTACTTTCCACCGTGCTCTTAAGACCCTCCTATTCCAGCAAGCCGGCCTGGCCTAATTTTCTCCCCTGTTTTAAAATTCTTTTAAATCGAAATTTTAATCTGTTTTAAATTATTGGGATTTTTAATTGTCTCGGGCTAAATTATTTAATCTGGTTTTAATTATGTTTCTAATTTTTGTATCTATGTATTTTATTTTGTCCCTGTTCACCGCCCTGAGTCCTTCGGGAGTAGGGCGGTATATAAATTTAATAAAAAAACAAACCAAAAACTAAACTTAGAACTAAGGAGAAATTTCCTGACAGTTAGAACAATTAATCAGTGGAACAACTTGCCTCCAGAAGTTGTAAATGCTCCAATGCTGGAAATTTTTAAGAAGATGTTGGATAGCCACTTGTCTGAAGTGGTGTGGGGTTTCCTGCCTAAGCAGGGGGTTGGACTAGAAGACCTCCAAGGTCCCTTCCAACTCTGTTATTCTGATTATATTTTGTACTGGCTGTGAGATTTCAAATTTTGTGTCTAGTTGTGTAATTGGAGGAAAAAGAAAGAGCTAAATTTCTGAGGAAGTCAGGAAACCAAGAATAGCAAAACTGATGGACTGAAGGTGTGAAAAAGTTAATCCTATGATTAGGGTAGGCTGATCAGTTGAAATTCTTTTATTTCTAAACTTTACTTTTACATTGGGAAATAGTCTAAAGTGGATTAACTTTTAACTTTAACTTTTATTAGACTTCTATACCATCCTTCTCCCGAAGGACTCAGGGCGGTGTACAGCCATATTAAAACACATAAAATTTACAAAATTTAAAAACCATTAAAATCAAATATACAAAAATTTGGCCCACAAATTAAAAACTAACATACATCCATTAAAATTCATATTCACGTTAGGCCAGCCCAGCTTGTTGAAACAAAAGGGTCTTCAGGGCGCGGCAAAAGATGCGCAGGTTGGGGATCATACGCACATCTAGGGGCAGCTCGTTCCAGATTAAATAGATGAATCATGTTTTCATATAAAATTCTCATAATTTTGGGAATTAACAATTTTTTAAATAATTTTGCTTGAAAAAATTCAGCATGTAGGTAGTTCTTGTTTAGCTATAACAATTGCATAATACTAAGTGGAAAATCATGTGACTGCTTAAGATTTTACTGCAGCTTTCCTTTCCCCCTACTCCCCCACCCTTTTGAATGCTTACCTAAGCCCTGAGATAATTAGCAAGAAGGGAATTAATGTTTGTATTTACATTCATTAGGCAAGCAGGGATTGCAAGAGAAAAAGCAGCCACACAATGGGGAATACACATCAAACGGAATGCACAGCCCAAAGTGTGTTGGGCAAAAAGCCTGCACTAACACATTCCTTACAATGAATATTACCCATTATGTGCTTGCTTTCTCTCTTTTTGTCCCTTCCTCTCCAATCTCTCTGTTCTGTAAAAGGGGGAAAAAAAGAAAACAGTAAATTCTAGCGTAATCTTTAAAATGCTATTCCTCATACTGATAAAACAAATAAATTTCTGGAGAAAAAAGCTATTCTCCAAAGCACTTGAATGCAGGGCCAGAAGCAATGGATGGAAACTATATAAGAGAACCACGCTAGAACTAAGGACAAATTTCCTGATAGTTAGAACAATTAATCAGTGGAACTACTTGCCTCCAGAAGTTGTGGGTACTCCAACACTGCAAGTTTTTAAGAAGAGATTGGACAACCATTTGTCAGAAATGATGTAGGGTTTCCTGCTTGGACTAGAAGGTTTCCAAGGTCCCTTCCAACTCTTATTATTCTCTTATTACAGTCAATTAGTATGCCTCACCGTTCTATAACATTTAGTATATAGGCCAAATATGTAGTTTATTTAATATCACATTCATAGTATATCTTTCCTCAGGGAGTTCAAGGTAGCAGATACTGGAATCTCATATAATTTGTGCTCAAAACATGCTAGGTTAGGATGAGATATAATGACTATGATCAAGTAGGACATTTTATTCAAATACATAATTTATCTAAACTAATACTAATAGTCCAACAACAGGTCTCATATTCCATTATTCAACCTATATAGTGAAACCATCTTATCTATGGAGTCCCTCTATACAGAATATAATTATTCAACAACAGGAACAAAGCTACTAAAAATGCATTATGAATACTGAATTTAACTTTGGTCTTCCAATTGACTTTTTTCCTTTGGTAGATGCTACTTCAAATGAACAACAAGCCCTCTTCTGTCAGAAATTACAGCAGTGCTGTGTATTATTTGATTTCATGGACTCTGTCTCTGACTTAAGGAGTAAAGAAATTAAAAGAGCAACACTGAATGAACTAGTGGAATATGTTTCTACAAATCGTGGTGTGATTACTGAATCAGCATATTCAGAAATTGTAAAAATGGTAAGTCATGTGAACTACTGTATAACTCCTTTGAAAGGATTTAGAAATGAAATTTATTGAAGACTTGTCTGTCTTCTGAATTGCCTTTTTGTGGCAATTAGATACTGCTTTTGCTGTTAATCTCCTGTAGTTAATCTTTAACATTAAAATTGGTCTGAAGGGTGATTATTTTTTTATGCTAAAAATAGCTTGTTCAATTATTTATTATATAAATGAAACAAGTTTCATACTGATGTTATTTTTTCACTTGGATTCAGTTCAGATATCAGTAGGACCCATTGGAAACTCTGATAATATTAAGTGGGAAACATAAGCATACATTCAGAAAAACTGAAATAAAAGTGAATATTTAATATACCTTCCCTCAGTTCTGCTGTACTGCATTTTAGTTCTTAGCTTCTCATGGTATCACCTTGGTTCTTCCTTGTTCAGTACCTTGTGACATCCAAATCTTTGCACCATCAAAGTTTAGTTTCAGTAGTGTGATGGCTAAAAATCAGTGATACAGTTTATTATCACATTCAGGAGGAAAACAATGAATGTGATAATAAGGCTTACTGTGATTTAAAGAAACAAGGGGCCTTGTTGTATAATTTGGAAATACGAAAATCTGTGGAACTCTCTTGATCTGTAATATACATCATTTTATTTTCCATGATTAGGCTTAATCAGTCTTCAATTTGGCAAGAAAGAAAATAAATCAAAATACTCCTCCTCCCTCACAATATTTAAGTGTGGCTTCTGGTCATCAAAATGTTGCCTATACTGGTAGATATTAAAGTTTTTCAAGGACAAGATGGAACCTTGCCAAATCCCAGAATTCAATTTTCCCTTCTGGGAGTTTGGTGGCATAGAACTAAACAAATAAAAGTAAAGCTAGCTAGTTAGCTCGTTGTGGGATTAACTAAAAGTTCCTAATATTTCCTTCTCAGGAGTATAAAGTATTTGGATCTGAAGTGCTGCTTGTTTAAGGAACCACTGACAGCTAGTGAACACTGTACCCATACCGAATCTAAAGTACCTTTCCTACTTGAGATCTGAACTGTTTCTTCAGAAACTGTTGTCTCATTGTGGTACCTTACTACAACCAGAACCAGTTCTGTCCCCAAACTGGTTCTGTAAATGACCATTTTGGAAGACAAAGTCATGAAATGATCAAAGAGAATAATCAGAATTGCACTTTGCTTATTTAGTCATCCCACAGAAGTTAAACCAGGATTGGCAGGAATCTAGAAATGGATATTATTAACTTGAAAAAAATTCCTGTCAGCTGCCCATGTCTTTTAGATTCTAAAAGTCTTGTTTGTTATATTTTGCTACACTAGCTAAATTGGTTTGTAAAGGTACAGCTGACATTCTTTGAAAACAGTTGGCTTTCAGTAGGCAAAGCTGAACTGAAGGACTGCATATCCATGTATAGTTGTATATGTAACAGAATAACAGAGTTGGAAGGGACTATAATCTATTCCTGCCAGCTTGGTGACATCTGCAAATTTGATCTATCCCCTCATCCAAATCATGTAATGTATAATTCCTCTACTAGTTCTAAATCTTCAATGGATTAACTGTTGGTGGAATATTTTGGAAGAAGTGTAGTCCTTAATCGAACTTCATTTAAATAGAAGGAAGCATGCAGTGGGATATCTCAAGGTTCTGTTTTAGATCCATTATTCTTCAACATCTTCATAAATGATATAGCTGAAGAGATTGAAGGGGAACTCATTAAATTTGCAGATGATATCAAGTGGGGGAATAGCCAACACTTTAAACAATAGACTCAAGATACAGAAGAATCTTGACAGTTGAACACTGAGCCCTATCCAACAAAAAATGCAATTCAGTAGTGACAAAAGTAAGGCCTTTCATTTAAGAAAGAAAAACCAAATGTACAGATATAGAGTAGGTGATTCCTGGCTCAACCGCAGTAACTGTGAGAACGATCTAGGAGTCCTAGAGGAGAACTACTTAATTATGAGCCAGCAGTGTGCCACAGCTGCCAAAAAGGTTGTCTCCTAGGCTGAATCAATAGAGGGATAGTATCAATATCAATATTATGTTAGTACTTCTTTATACTACACTGGTAAGACCACACTTGGAATACTATGTCCAGTTTCAGTCACAATACAAAAAATATGTTGAGACTCTAGAAAAAGTGCAGAGAAGAGCAGCAAAGGGAGTTAGGGGCCTGAAGGCTAAACTATACGATGAATGGTTGCGGGAACTGGGAATATCTAGTCTAATGAAGAGAAGAACTAGGGGTGATATGATAACAGTCTTCCAATATTTGAAGAACTATCACAGAGAGGAGGGATTCTCCCAAGCACCTTGAGAGCAAGATAAGAAGTAACCAGATGGAAGCTTAACAAGAAAGATCCAACCTAGTATTAAGGAGAAATATCCTGTCAGTGACAACAATTAATCAGTGGAACAGGTTGCCTCCAGAAGTAGTGGGTGCTCCATGACTGGAAGTTTTTAAGAAGAGATTGGACAACCATTTGGCTAGAATGGTTGAGCAGGAACTAGAAGACTTCCAAGATCCACTCCTATCCTGTTATTCTATGCTCTATGTAAGTAAGCAGAGTCCCAATACAAAGTCCTCTTTTTTGCACAGGTAGATCTTCCAAGCTGATGTACTTGAACTCAGAACAAACAAAATAAAATAGGTAATATAGAATAAAAAATAAGAAAACGGAGAACTATTCTATTCTTGGGAATACTCTTCAGATATTCAATAATTTATAATGGTAGCAGTTTACATACTGCTTTTACTTAGTTTGGGGAGATTTTGTTTGTATTTCTTTTATCCTGGAAGAGTTATGCCAAATGCCATTGTGACAATCAGATAATAGAATTATATGCAATAAATTTTCAATTTTCTCATGAACCTCATGAGAGACATTTGTAATTTTGGAATGTAACAGAGCAGTGATAGTTATCAGTCTTTTCAGAAATAAAAAATTTCTTAGTAGAAAAATGACAGAACTAAATTTTTGTTGTATAGTTTAAGTGCTGCTTTGCATGTCTGTTACCAAGTAAACCTGAACTACTCTGCAAAATATCACATTTTCTAAAATTAATTATAAAAACAAATTTGTTTCATTGTTTCATGTTTACAGTAGTTATAATCACCCTACATAATTATAAAGTTTTGACATAGCAGTATTTGATAAAGTTCCTACAATTATAATCAGTTTTCAAACTAACTGAATTTAGGTTTCTTCTAAATACAGATACTCTGTAGTTAAAATTTTTTAGTCCTTCAATTAAAAGATCCCTACAAGTAATAATAAAAAATATTAGCAGAAGAAAAGAAATGTTTTAAGTTTCTTGTAAAAAGTCTTTTTGTGGAGATTACTGCTACTAAGGTTTGCTCACCAGATTCAAATTTGCATCACTTTCTCATGAGGAGAAACTGGGGATTATTCTGTAATATCCGTGAAATCCAGTCATTAAAATTCCAATAATTACTGTTAACCTAATGTGAGACATTGTATCTATAATTACTTTCCGTCACAGTGTTGCTCTTGATACCAGTGAGTTTTACCAAACAAGAGTGTCTCTTGGATTTCCACATTCTACCTATTGTTATAATGGACTTCATTTATATCATTTTAACAGTTAGGTTACTGAATACTCCTTTCCTTGATGTTATTGTCTTTTGCAGAAGTATGGATATTTGCTCTTGCAATCTCAAATGTTCTTTCTTAAAAGGTAGTTTGATGCATCAGGTTATGGAGATAGTGACTCTGAGATTACATCCTTATGTTCATTATCCATTTCATCCTCACTGTGGCAATTCTAAGATATTGATTAATGCTCTTTTGCTTCGAATAAAGCCTTGCCCAAAGCCTTCTGGCTTTATTAGATACGCTCAGAATAGGGTTAGAACTGTAGAGAGCATACGTGTAAATATGAAATTTAGTTCACAGTCTGCCAATTAGATAGCAATGTTGGGAGAGGCTGTTGCCAATTAGTAGAAACCATATAACCACTTAAATGCTGCAATTGCTTAAAAAAACCAATGTGGTCCTAGGCTGTATCAACAGAGGGATAGTATCAAGATCACATGAAGTGTTTGTACCACTTTATATTGCATTGATGAGATCACACTTGTAATATTGCATCCTGTTCTGGTTAGCACAATACAAAAAAGATACCGAAACTCTAGAGAATACAGAGAAGAGGAACAAAGATGATTAGGTGACTGGAGGCTAAACTGTATGAATGGTTGTAGCAACTAGGTATGTCTAGTCTAACAAAGAGAAATATTAGGGGTGACATGATAGTAGTCTTCCAATATTTGAGGGCTTGTCACAGAGAAGAGGGGCTTGACCTATTCTCCAAAGCACCCGAGGGCAAGGCAAGAAATACCAGATGGAAGATTATCAAAGAGATCCAACCTAGAACTAAGAGAAATTTCCTGACAGTGAGAATAGTTAATCAGTGGAATGGATTGCTTCCAGATGCTGTGGGTGTGCCATGACTGGAGGCTTTTAAGAAGGGATTGGACAGCCATTTGTCCAGAATGGAATAGAGTCTCCGGCTCAAGTAGAGGGGTTGGGCTAGAAGATTTCCAAGGTCAAGTCCAACTGTGTTATTTGTATATATTGGACTAGATGAAACAGTGGTCTTAAAAGTATTTTCTAGTTATGTGTGTTTGGATGCAGTCATAAATGTACTTTATGTATTGCATTAAATAAAATCAAATTGAAAATAGCTTTTAAAATGTGATCATGTTCTCCTAGATTAGCTCTAATATCTTTAGAACACTTCCTCCAAGTGAAAATCCTGATTTTGATCCAGAAGAGGATGAGCCTACATTAGAAGCTTCTTGGCCCCATATACAGGTAACTTCTTCAAATTTGTTTGTTGATATTCATGCCAGCTTTTTTAGGATTACAGATATCGGACAAACAAAGTCATGTTTTCTATGTCTTGCTGCTATATTAGTGGTCATCAGGATTTCTGAAATCCAGCTCAGATTGTAGTTAACCCTTTGTCATCTACAATCAGTTCTGCAAATACAATATATACATTTTTATATGCTCATGAATCTGTTTTCAAACCATTCCATATGGTCACCTGATTTCTATCTTCCAGGATTCTGAAATGTTATTTTTCATCTTTGATTTACATTTTACCATTTCATTCAGTCCTACCTTCTAAAATGTAGGACCCACTTATCGGTAAAGTTACTGGTTTTACTACTACCAAATTATACCCTGGTTCTTCTTTATCCTTAATCCTTGTTCCTGCCTCAGATGCTACTGATTATGTCCTCTGGCCTTAACTAGATTGAATTCTTTGACTTTTAACTTGAATTTAGGATTGGCGTAGCAGCTGTGAGACGAGGCAAACTCACCTCTGCCTAATAAGGCTTAATAAATCTTTTATTGGCTCTTCTAGACTTTTTAAGTGTAATTGCCTTGAAGGTTGGCAGGAAGTTTGTGGGATTTATATTGGGTGTTGATAATTGTAACCTTCTTTTGCTTTTGTTTCTCAACCTCAACTGCTTTAAGACGTATGGACTTCAACCCCAGATTTCGTCCCCTCCCCCTCCCCCCAGCCAGCATGCTTTAAAGAAGGCCTTTAAGAAACCTAATAGTCTGAAAACAACTGCAAATATTAAGCATATAACTACCCCTTTTTTTAAAAAAAGTCTTTTTAAAACTCTTTATGAACTCTGTTCAAAGATACTTTACTTTGAACTCTATTCAAAGATACTGTAACTGGTTAAACTGTTAAACCTGGCGCACTTATAATAATAAAAAAAGCACTAAAAAGGGAATAATTGGCTATGTCATGAATAGGGAGAGAATAAAAATGCAAAAGATCATATAAGGTAGGAGAAAATATCATGGAAACCTCAGAGCACATCTGATTTCTTAACTATTTTCTGCACCAGACTTGAGAGTTTAAAGTTCCTGCACCTTAAATATTATAATAATGGAGTAGGCATATGGGGTCTTAAGAGCCTGAACTGTTAATATGCTAGTTAATATGCAATATTGGCATGCTGAATTTTGTTGAAATGGATTTCTGTTATCTTCTAAGAGGCTTTACTAATATATGTGAAATGTATTACATAACAAAATGTTTTTTACAACATTTATTTTATTCTTTCATAGCTGGTGTATGAATTTTTACTAAGGTTTTTAGAAAGTCCTGATTTCCAACCTAGCATTGCAAAACGACATATTGACCAGAAATTTGTACACCAGGTAAACATTTATCTGAAATATATGGTTTTAGCTTAGATTATTTTTTTTGATGGAAGATTCATTTTATTTCACAGAAATATTTTTAGACAATCATATTTATATACAATAGAAAGGAAGAAATGACATTTTTTTGAAGATACTCCTTTTGAGTTGCAAAGCAGTTATGTATCTTCCTTTCCATACTGTTGCAAAGTACCATATTTTTTGGAGTATAAGACACCCCCCCCCCAAAAGAGGGTGGAAATGTTGGTGCGTCTTATACACTGAATACAGCCATTTTTGGTCTCCTGAAGCCCCACCCCGCTGGTCCCATTTTTGTGAAAAATGGGCTCGTTTTTCTCCCGTTTTTTGCAAAAATGGCATTTTTGCCCAGCCCAGCCAAATGGGCCTATTTTTCCAAAAAATGGGGTGCACGGAGGGTTTGGGAGGCCTGCAGAGTGCTCCTGGGGGCTGGGGAGGGCAAAAACTGTTTTTTCTTACTTACCTATTCGAAATCTTGGTGTGTCCTATACGCCGGTGCGTCATATAGTTCAAATAATATGGTATATAGAATCATAGGGTTGGAAGGGAGCTTGGAGGTTTTTTAGTCCAACCCCCTGCCCATATGACCCCACTCCCACAGTTGGAGAGTGTGTACATATTTCCCTTCTAACTACTGTTGAAGAAAAAGTTCTGAACAGTGCAGCACAATTTGGGATGTTTCAAAAGGAGCACAGATGAAAATTGTCAGCTAAAGTGCCCCCATGAGTAGTTTCCCTCAAATCAGAGTTCAAGCCAGCATTTTTTATATTGTTAGAGGGAGAAATAGAACAGTAATCTGTAAGATTTGTAAGTTTGAACTGTTACTCTGAATTACATTGAAGTGATTTTTAAAATTATGGCAAAGATAACTGTATAGCAGCATTTGCATATCCTATGTAAACATTAATGTATGGAAATGCAATATTACATAAATAATATTAGCTCTTTTCCTTATTTTTAAGGTGAGGCAATACACATTGCATTTGTAATTACGGTGCCACCACACAGTAGCTGTGGTTTGGTTAGTGTCAGTTCAGCATTTCCTTGTTATTGAATTTGTTTGCCTATGATCAGTAAGACTGTTTGTATTTCTATCTAAGCGCTTGCCAATGTTGACTTTTGAAAGATTTATCCTATGAACTCCCTGCCATACATTTGCAAAACCTTTATTGTTGGCATTGTATTATTGAAGCTATTGTGAACTTACCTTAGATTTATGTGGGAAGGTGTGGAACAAATTTGGTTGAATCTGTATATCAATTAGTGCTTATTGAAGTAATAAACTATACTTTATTATTATTATTAGCTGTTGGAGCTTTTTGACAGTGAAGATCCACGAGAGCGTGACTTTCTAAAAACAGTACTTCATCGAATTTATGGCAAATTCCTTGGATTAAGAGCATTCATCAGGAAACAAATCAACAATATTTTTCTCAGGTATAATATATACTGTTTACAATCTTACTTACCAACTTTTGCATAAATTTAATTTGTACTTTAAAAAGTACAGAATTAATAACCTACAACTTGTTCTTAATCTACCAATAACATATTTGGAGTTAAACTTCTGAAAGGCTTTGGATAATTAGCTTGCCCTCAACCCTCTAACAGGACAAATTGGCTTAATTACAGTACTTGAGGTTTTTTTTTTTTTAGTTCTAAAGGTTGTAAATGATTCAGAAGGTTAAAGCATCCTTTTTATGCCTGGTTTCTGTGGGACCTCTGGGTGGGACTGTTTGAGCCACTTGTGGGCTGTAGGTTACCCCTTTCTGTTCTGGAGGTTTGTTGGGATCTACTTTGGATCTTACCCATAATATGAATATCTATTTTAAAGCAATTTTCTTACATCAAATTGAAGATGCATTCTGCTAATAGTTTTCAGAAAAATAGTAACCCCTCAACTTTCATGTGGAGATATTTAACTGTATTTTCTTCTTCACTGTTGGATGAAACATTAATTTTTTTTTAACAACAGGTTTATATATGAAACGGAACATTTCAATGGTGTTGCTGAGCTACTTGAGATACTGGGAAGGTAGGTAGATTTCTTCATCACAGTTAGGAAGGACCAAGGTTTGCATCTGTGTTTTTTTTTTTTTAACCAATGGTTACAGTTATCATCACCACCCAATTGTTATCACCAACCAGGGAGATAAAGATGCTGTAACTGGAATGAGCTCTTGGAGTTAATATACTCCTGGGAGGACCAAGAGCATTGCAAGAAGATTCCATGTGGACATTGGTACTGGTCTTAGAAAATCAGGTGCTTGAATAAATATGCTTCTACAAAACCTTAAAGAGGTGTACTGTGAAGTTCAGATGACTTGCAGAATTGCTATATGGGGACATCACCTACAAATAAACAATTAAAGTATGTTAGGGAGTATGCAATATCACAGTATGTGTCTGCAATGCATGTAGTTCTCGACTTAATAACTGTAATTGAGCCCACAATTACAGTTGTAAGCTGAGCCAGTTTTTAACAGGTTATCACATGGCCATCCTGATTTTATGTCTTTTTTTTTTGCAGCAGACATAAAACAAGCCCATTGTTTGCAATGGGTGATTGCTAGAAACTAGAAGTAAAGTCTGATTTCCTGAAGGAAACTAGCACATTGTGGATATGTGACCATGGGATGCTGCAAATGGACATAAATGAGGGCTGGTTGCCGAGTGTCCAAAATACAATCACATGTTCATGTGAGAAGAGGTGGATGCCAGAACATTTAATCTGGGTCATAGTAACTTTTGGGGGGTTGTTGTAATTTCAACCATTCGCTAAGCAACTGGTCCTTAAACGAGGATTGCCTATAGGACAGATACTGCTAGTCTGATACCTTCCTTTCCCCTTTTATTTCAAACAGGATTTGATAGATTTGACCAGAAAAGAAGGGGAGGAAAGAAAAGGAAATATTCTATGAGATCCATAAACTGCATGTAATTAATTTTACATTTAATGGAACAATTACAATTTTCCTGCAGTTCCAAATGTGTATTTTTGATTTGTAAATTTTTTCATACAGTGAAAGTCTTAGAAATGAACTCAAGCTGGTGCAAATTGGAGTACTAAATCTGCTGTGATTTAATTTCTATCCTACTTAAAGCACTTTTTTCTCAGTTGGTGGAATCTGCAGTTGGTGCTCATAAAGGGAATCAAGCAGCCAAATTAGTGGATACAAACAAGCAGCATTTAGGAATTGCTTATTTGTAGCCACTAATTTCAGCAAAATTAGTAAATTCAATTTTACTATTTACTACATTCAAAAAGTAACTGGTCCTTACTACCCTGTGGAAAATACAGCTGGTCTTGTTCAATGTATTTATAGGAATAGTGTTGTTCACAATCTTCAGAATAAAATGTAAACTTAATAATACACATTTATTATATGTATTGCAGTACTGTAATAAGTTTTCATGTTGAATTTGTTTTTTCCCCTTCAGTATTATCAATGGTTTTGCATTGCCACTGAAAGCTGAACATAAACAATTCCTTCTGAAGGTTCTTATTCCCATGCATACTGCAAAGGGATTAGCTTTATTTCATGCACAGGTATGTTGATCTGAGCAAATGTAATATTGCATGTTGAAGCTCAAGTAATGTTGCAGTTAAACTTATTTAATTGCACAAGTTGAGTCTTTTAGGGCCAGAGGTCTTTATTTAAAGATGCATACAGTGGGGCAAAAAAGTATTTAGTCAGCCACCAATTGTGCAAGTTCTCCCACTTAAAAAGATGAGAGAGGCCTGTAATTGTCATCATAGGTAGACCTCAACTATGAGAGACAAAATGAGAAAACAAATCCAGACAATCACTGTCTGATTTGGAAAGAATTTATTTGCAAATTATGGTGGAAAATAAGTATTTGGTCACCTACAAACAAGCAAGATTTCTGGCTCTCACAGACCTGTAACTTCTTCTTTAAGAGGCTCCTCTGTCCTCCACTCATTACCTGTATTAATGGCACCTGCTTGAACTTGTTATCAGTAAAAAAGACACCTGTCCACAACCTTAAACAGTCACACTCCAAACTCCACTATGGTGAAGACCAAAGAGCTGTTGAAGGACACCAGAAACAAAATTGTACGCCTGCACCAGGCTGGGAAGGCTGAATCTGCAATAGGCAAGCAGCTTGGTGTGAAGAAATCAACTGTGGGAGCAATAATTAGAAAATGGAAGACATACAAGACCACTGATAATCTCCCTCGATCTGGGGCTCCACGCAAGATCTCACACTGTGGGGTCAAAATGATCACAAGAACGGTGAGCAAAAATCCCAGAACCATACGGGGGGGACCTAGTGAATGACCTGCAAAGAGCTGGGACCAACGTAACAAAGGCTACCATCAGTAACACACTACACCGCCAGGGACTCAGATCCTGCAGTGCCAGACGTGTCCCCCTGCTTAAGCCAGTACATGTCCGGGCCCGTCTGAAGTTTGCTAGAGACCATTTGGATGATCCAGAAGAGGATTGGGAGAATGTCATACGGTAGATGAAACCAAAGTAGAACTGTTTGGTAGAAACACAACTCGTCGTGTTTGGAGGAGAGAGAATGCTGAGTTGCATGCCAAGAACACCATACCTACTGTGAAGCATGGGGGTGGCAACATCATGCTTTGGGGCTGTTTCTCTGCAAAGGGACCAGGACGACTGATCTGTGTACAGGAAAGAATGAATGGGGCCATGTATCGTGAGATTTTGAGTGCAAACCTCCTTCCATCAGCAAGGGCATTGAAGATGAAATGTGGCTGGGTCTTTCAGCATGACAATGATCCCAAACACACCACCCGGGCAACGAAGGAGTGGCTTCATAAGAAGCATTTCAAGGTCCTGAAGTGGCCTAACCAGTCTCCAGATCTCAACCCCATAGAAAACCTTTGGAGGGAGTTGAAAGTCCGTGTTGCCCAGCGACAGCCCCAAAATATCACTTCTCTAGAGGAGATCTGCATGGAGGAATGGGCCAACATACCAGCAACAGTGTGTGCCAACCTTGTGAAGACTTACAGAAAACGTTTGACCTCTGTCATTGCCAATAAAGGATATATAACAAAGTATTGAGATGAACTTTTGATATTGATCAAATACTTATTTTCCACCATAATTTGCAAATAAATTCTTTCCAAATCAGACAATGTGATTGTCTGGATTTGTTGTCTCTCATAGTTGAGGTCTACCTATGATGTCAATTACAGGCCTCTCTCATCTTTTTAAGTGGGAGAACTTGCACAATTGGTGGCTGACTAAATACTTTTTTGCCCCACTGTAACTTTAATATATTTCACACAGTGGAAAATCAGAATGAGTATTTATTTTCACACTGCTGAAGTTTTTATGAACCAATATTGTAAAATAAATAAATGTTTTTCTTCAACTACTTGTACCTTTGAATTTATTATCTATTAGTGATTGTATGTTGTAATTTTAAAAATAGCTTTCCTACAGGCATAGCTTGAAATCTCTGCTTTCCAAGGTGTTTGATAGAAGAATTAAACAGGGTACTAACCAATAACACTAAATAGTAATTATCTGAGGGTCATCTGATGATGCACTTGGGAAAGTTTTCCTCTTAGTGCTTGACAACTGAATTTGTGGCATTCATTGTGATCCTGTGCTACATGATGCTTATAAGAGTCTTTATTTTTCAAAACTAAAGATTTAAAATGTTACTTTAATATATAATGTATAAAACATTAAAGAGGTGTACTGTGAATTCAAACTATCAGTGACATCAATTTTTTCTCTTCATCAAAGGGATTGTTATACCAGTCTTTGAAATAAAAAAAAAGTTAGGGTTCATGTCTAAATATGCTTGGTATTCAGAGAAGATGGGACATCCATCAAATGTTTGTATAGTCTATAAATTTCCAAAAGAGGCTCGGTGCAGACACAAAACAATACATATGAATGACAGATGATCATTCAAATAATATGTTACAGATAATCTTTTTTTGAAAATTATGACAATTTAATAATCCTATAATGAACTATCAATTTTCAAAAACTTTTTTTAAGCTGGCGTACTGTGTTGTTCAGTTCTTGGAAAAAGATATGACATTAACAGAGCCGGTAAGTATTGTTTTTGTCTTTCTTTGAACTTTTGCAATATAGCTCAAACGTAGATCTAGCAAATAATAATGATTATCCAAACCTCTGCACCAATGTGGTTCAGCAACTAGAGTTTTCAGCAAAAAAATCATAATTCACACGTAGCCTATATAGAACATCCTGCTGTTATTTACAATGAATCAATAGAATAAGAATGGAAGACTTTTCCATGTGCCCCAGAAATTGATACAAGATACTTGCTTAGTATACATGGCAACCCCTGACCAGAATCCTGGTATCTTCATTTGTTTGACTTTAGAAGTGTTTTGCTTCTAAAGCAAGTCATTGGCTTTCAACTACTTTTTATGAAGTGTGTTTTAACTCTAAAGTTATTTCTAAAACCAGCCTGTTTGTTCCTTGTGCTGTCATACTGAATCTACTTATCCAGAAATTTATAACTGTAGTAATTACTATTATACAGTTTGTTATATTAATACAACAGATATACATTCAAAATTTGTAATTGTTTAAATATATAATTGGACAGCCATTTACCAGAAGTGGCCCCTTAATTTAGAATGCTGATAAAATAATATGTAATAAAAGGGTAAGGGGAAAAGCTGAGTATTGTAAATAAATATTATACCAGCAATTTTAGAACAAAGTGTATTCAGACACAGCCTTCTCCAAATGATATCATCTATCATCAGTTTGAATCAGGAGAAAATAAAGTAAAATGTAAATGAAATTGAATTCTGTGGTTTATAACTCTGTGAACTGGTCGTACAAAGGTTGTGACCATACATAACAAAAGAGACGATCGCAATTGTATAAACATACACAGCACCTGAGCATTTTAAATATATTACTATAAAGTAGAATTGATTAATCATGTGCCTGTTTATTAAAAAGTCCAGTTGTGTGCAGTAGTTTATTCCAGGTAATTAATTGTTCATTAAAATTGCTTAGAAGCTTTCAAACTGCCATTTACTTTTATTAAATATTTTATTAAATACTTTTAGAACCCATGTCCCCTTTCCAGAGTCCTACAGAGTAACGATAAGGCTGTGACACAAAACATGGCTGTATTCTTTAGCAGTTGGAACATTGAAGAGATGCAGCCTTTTAAAGTGAAAATACTCTATAATACTTAATAGCCTTTTTTCTATGAATTGTGTTTTCACAGAAAAGCCTAGTGAAGGAATGATTGAGAAATAGACTTAAATAGGAAAAGGGACAGGTGTTGGAAAGTCTAGAGCAGGGGTCCCTAGCCTTTTTGGCACCAAGGACCGGTTTCATAGAAGACAATTTTTCCATGGACCGAAGGGGGGGGGGATGGTTTCAGTTTTGCTTACTTGCCTACTGCTAATGTCCAGCTGTTCGGTCTGGTTCCTAACAGTCAAAAGGGGACCCCTGTTGTAGAGAAAATGTAGGCATTTTATTTTTTAAAATGTTACATGCAGGTATTATGTCTGACTGAGCCCTAAACTGATGTGTTTGTCTGCATTTGTTGTATAAATCCAGTCAGTTATCCTTAAATTCAAGAAATCATCGTTAACCTAGGATGGTTTAATGTAATGAGTGAATCCAATAATTCATTAATTTGTTACCTCTTGTTTAAAAATGTAAAATGAAAAAAAACTTTGCAATATAGTTGGAACAAAATCCATTTTTGAAGATACATCTGTGTCAAATACATTGAACAAAATGATTGAATTTAGTAAATCTAAAGGCAGTCATACCATCTTTCAAGTATCAGTTTTCATAGATAAACTCTGATGAATTTTTATTTTTGCAACCCAGGTTATCAGAGGATTGCTGAAATTTTGGCCAAAAATATGCAGCCAGAAAGAGGTAAGTTTGATTATTTTTCTAAAGCATTATACTAAAATCAATTTACTATAGCTCAGCAGGTTTATTCCAGCTGTAATATGGATAATGCGTAAAGTCTCCATTTTCATCTTAAGAAAATTATTTTGGCACCCTAAGGAGAGCCTTAAACATGGGGCTTCTTTGGAAGAATCCTGTGGGATTAGAGTTTTTACTTACCTGTCTGTGATAAGGCAGCATGACAGGTTATTATGCAGAATTCAGAAAAGGGTATTCTCTTTGTACCTCCTCCAAATGCAACTTCCCAGGCTGATACACTTCAAAGTGTGCTTTTCAGGGCAGTTTGCAGAGTTTTCATTCCTTTTCTAGTATGCTGCCTATTTATGGACCTTGAGAAAAGAGGGGAAAAAAACCAGATCTGAGATTGGGAGGAAATGTGCCCTGCATATTCTTAAGAAATAAGTATTACATTGTGTTAAATTGGAAATAATGAAATGTTATCTTTTCAATGACTATTGAAATCCTACTGTAATAAGGTACTTAATGTATTTTTACCTTTTCATCTTATATAGTAATACATAGTACAGTTTTATGTGTAATAATGCCTAGAATATATAAATACTGTTCACATTTTGTTTTACATTATTGTAAACATACTCATGTTGTTGAATATAGACTTTATGAATTATATATTATTTTAAATATAGTTCCTGCAAAATATTTGTGCTTACAACTGTTTAGCTCTGAATCACAATCTGAGTATCTGTGTAAACCAGTGGTGGGTTGCTCCCGGTTCGGTCCGGTTCTTGCAACCGGTAGAAGCTTCTGCACATGTGCAGAAGCGCACATGTGTGCTCTTGTTGCAAACCGGTAGTGGAGGTAAGTAGAACCCACCCCTGGTGTAAACCTGTATTTATCCATATAAAATCCTAGGAGTTTTTAATTTAGATGATTTTAAAACCATTTACTAGAGCATCTCAATAGGTGGTTCTAAGAATACTAGATCTGTAGCATTACTGATATTTAAAATTTGAAGAATTTGTTGGTAATCTGGATTGTTTGAGTAATTTATATCAAATTAAGGATATTTAATTTATGTTTAAAAAATCATTGTCAAATAGAATTAGTGTAGATTGCAGAAAATCCTAGATTAAAAAAAAGATTCAATTTTTTTTCTGTATGCTAATGATGTTATTATACAAACCTTTCTTGCCTAAATATTTTTTTCTTTGTAACAGGTCATGTTTTTAGGTGAAATTGAAGAAGTTCTGGATGTAATAGAACCGACACAGTTCAAAAAAATACAAGAGCCTCTTTTTAAACAGATAGCAAAGTGTGTGTCAAGTTCACATTTTCAGGTATAATTTGAGATTTTCAATAACTAAAAATTGGATACTAGCCAATCTCATTGTCCTGATATTTTAAATGTGTATTTCAGATTGCAGAAAGGGCTCTGTACTTTTGGAATAATGAATACATTCTTGGTCTGATTGAAGAGAACATTGATACAATTTTGCCAATTATGTTTGGCAATTTATATAAGATCTCCAAAGAACACTGGAATCCGTATGTACTTCTTACTGTTTAATCTTTTAAAATATTTTAATGTATTGCAGATTAGTTTCAGATTTAAATCCTTTTGGTTTGTAGGGCACAACCTCCATGTTAAAAGAATGCACTTGTGTATATTTTATTTATTTTAACTTTTATATTGCATGTTTATATTGCATTTTAATTCTCGGCTGTTCACCGCCCTGAGTCCCTTCAGGGAGAAGGGCAGGATATAAATTTAATTAATTAATTAATTAATTAATAAATAAATAAATAAATAAATAAATAAATAAGACAATGCATGAGAATTGCGTTGTCTGCACAGAACTTCAAGCACTGAATCATTGATACTGCTACTTGAAAGATGTGCTTTGAAATGATTTATTATATACATTGTCATAAAATCATACAATTGGAAGTGACTTCAATTCATCTAGTGCAACCCTCTGCTCAGTACAGGATCCATTAGAGCATTTCTGATAGATAACCATCCAATTTATGTTTGACAACCTCCAATGAAGAAAATGTCTCTTTATGAGGCAATCTATTCTACTGATAGATAGTTCTTATGATAGGAAATTCCTCCTCATATCTCTCATCTGAATCTACTTCCTTATACTTTTGAACTAGGATTCTGGTAGTTCCCCACAAGGCAAAAGAGAAGAGATATCATCTAATGACATATTTCTCCTCGATCTGCTTTTACATAGGCTAAATCTATCCGTTCTTTTAACCATTCCTCATAGGATTTCATTTCCAGCCCATATCATCTTCGTACCATCCTTTGAATTTCTTTCAGTTTATGGGTTTCCTTTTTGAAGTTCAGTGTCCAAGCAGGATAGTGTTGTGAGTGGGATCTCATCAAGACCAAATAGAGTGGGACAATTACTCGATCCCATGATCTCTATATTCTTGTGTATATATTCCAAAATAGCATTTGCATTGTCAGCAAATGCCTCAAATTATTAACTATGGTTTACTTTGTGATCTGCTTGAACACCCAGATCCTTTTCATGTTACTTCTGCAAGACAGATCTCCCCCATTGTTTTGTTTGTTTGTTTGTTTGTTTGTTTTATTTTTCTCCTTAATTACAGGAGAAACTTTTGTTTGGACTATTGTTTAAACCTCTGTAGATTTTTTTTAATCTTCCCTTTCTCTTTTGAAGTTTTAGCTAGTCCTAGTTTTTATACCATCTGCAGATTTGGTAGTCATCCCCTCAACTCCACCCAGTCACTTGGTTGAGTCGGGCAGTCATAGTAATTGAATTAATAAAAAATAAACTCTTTCCAGATCAGTAATAAAAATGTTGGTCCCAAGACAGATTTGTGGCACTCCATATAGTGTTTCTGTCCAGGTTGATAAGGAGACATTTATGAATGGCCATTCAGCCAATTATAAATCCATGCAACAGTAATATTATCTAGCCCATATTTTACAGTTTTATTGAGGATTTCATGAGAGGCTTTGTCAAATGCTTTGCTGGGGTCAAGGTACAATTTTTCAGCCAAAATGCAGTAAAATATTACTTACAGAATATAGTCAAAACTATGACAGCAACTAACTACTTAAAAATCTATCTAAAACATTTTAAAAGCTCAGTATGGTATGTAGGGATTATGGGGGTGACGAGGCGCTCCCATGTGACACCTCTCCTGCGCGAGCTGCACTGGCTCCCGGTGGTCTTCCGGGTGCGCTTCAAGGTGTTGGTGACCACCTTTAAAGCACTCCATGGCTTAGGGCCGGGGTACTTACGAGACCGCCTTCTGCCACCAATAGCCTCCCACCGGCCAGTACGCTTGCACAGAGTGGGCCTCCTCAGGGTGCCGTCCGCCAGACAATGTCGGCTGGCGACTCCCAGGGGGAGAGCCTTCTCTGTGGTGGCGCCCACCCTCTGGAACAACCTCCCCCCAGAGATACGTACAATAACAAACCTCCGGATTTTTCGTCGGGCCCTGAAAACCCATTTATTTCAACTAGCTGGGCTGGCTTGAGTTAAATTTTAAATTGATTTTAAATTGGGTTGTTTTAATTTACGGCCAAAATATTTAATTATTTTAAACTGCTTTTAAATTTTGTATGTTCTGTTTTTTACTTTGGCTGTTCACCGCCCTGAGTCCTATTTGGAGAAGGGCGGTATAGAAATAGGAACAAACAAATAAATAAATAAACAGGTTTCAAGTCATTGACTTGGGACTCTTCACCATCCCTAAACTCTTTTCCACAATATTTGATGGCAGATGTTTTTTTCTGAGAATGGATATCACTAAATTTATTCTCAGAGTTAAAAATCTGATGCCAGGGAAGCCTTCTTAGGAAGGCATTCTATAATCAAAATAATGTTATGTTAAAATTAATCAAATGTTTGTTATAACTTATAATGGAATTGACATGTTAATGGAAACTCATTCTCAAGGAAATCACTTTACTGGTCAGATAATCTTAACCCTTGATTTTTCATTTATTGTTAAGAAACTTTAATTGAAATATTAAATATAGGAGGCCCTTATGAATATATTTTTGCATTTTGTACTTTGTGTTAGATTTGGGCAGCACCTTTTGCACGTGCACTTGACTTTGATTTATATTAGATTGTAACTTTCCTGCTATTTATTATGATAATCTCATCACACTGTTGTTTTAAGTTTGAAGACAAACAAGTCTAATGTCCATGCTTTGAGTTTGCAGACCCCATCATTTCAAAACTAAATACAGTTGTTTCTTTTATGTGAAATGGTGACAAAACTAAAGCAGAAGCTAGATAATCAGACTAGATGATAGAATACATCTCTTAACAATATTTTTGCAACTTACCCTGTTCTAGGACCATTGTAGCATTAGTATATAATGTGCTGAAAACACTGATGGAGATGAATGGGAAACTATTTGATGAACTCACAAGCACTTACAAAGCAGAAAGACAAAGGTATACCTTTCCAATATGTTTACAAACATGTGCCTGAAACAGTCTTCCAGATTAATGTTGATTTAACATTAGAATAAAAAAAAATAGTTTTGCAAATGAATCATCTCTTTCTACTATTTACATTAACTATGTTTATCCATTTCTTCTAAATAAAAGCATCCCTTCCTTAAACCCATTTCTCCTAATGGACCTTGCTTAGGATACCTAGCCTTGTCTTGTACTCAGCACCTCTTCCTGCTATGCATCCAGTCCTTTCCTTTTCACTTTTGCTTTTGCAAGGAATTCTGCTTATGAGATTTTCTGATTAAGGGCTGTTGCAGTTTTTCCATGTAACAAGGTACAAATGCTTTCTTTTTACTAACCCACTGATTATTGTAAATCCGCCTAGCTTTTGCTCTAGGGGCATCTTACCAACTATATGTTGAGACATCAGCCTGCATATCCATATTAAGATACTTTCATCAGCAGAAGCTTTGGGACATCTCCAGCTGCTATTAGTGGGATAATTAGCAGGCACCTGGGACACAACCTTTCCTATGCTTTCATGCTTTGGCATTTTTTTTTCTGTTGAGATTTTGTTGCTCTGTATGGCAATGTGCTTCTGTTAGTTTGTTTTTACATGTCTACAGGTTGGCTTCTGTTGAGTGTATGGAAGGAAATGTTGGTAAGGAAGTAGCCCAAATAGTAATACAGAGCTAATCTATTCAGCATGGGTCCTTTCTGCACTGTAGCTCCACTCCAAATTATTTTGAGAAGCTGTAGTCAATTTAGTTTAATAGTGCCATTTATTTTCTCTATCTATTACCAAATTCCTTATTAATTAAAGGAGAAAAGATGAATTTAGGGTTGTGCTAGTAGAACTATAATTTACTAGGTCCCTACCAATCATGTTTCACTTCCAGGAAGAAATGAAATACATTCTCCTGGAGATGTTTCCCTGCTGGGGAAGCCTGGAGCACTACGTAATGTAGATGCTAGAGGAGTGTTTCTGAACCTCAGCAACTTTTAATATGTGTGGATTTTAACTCCCAGAATTCCTCAGCCAGCTACAGAGGATGGCTTGGTATAGGCTGTCAATCTGACCAGCCCTGATCTCGAGAGACTTTGGTTAAAACTGATATTTTAAATTAAGAATTTTCAATGTATTCAGAGTATCTTTTTAAAAACCTTCATGCTTTACTTCCTATTGGAAAAAAAATCAGTGTGGTTAGTGTAGAGTCCTACAATGCTATGGATTAAAGGTAAAAATATGCTGCGGAATGAATAGGAGACATGCATGTAGTCTTGTCTGTAATTCTTAAACACATCTGTTCCTGGAATCATAGTATAGCTGGATGTTCCTGAGAAGAGATACAGCTCCAGGTAGACCTTACTGACTGACTTTGAATGGAGTGACCATTCAAAGTTATGACAGTACTGGGGGGGAAAAACAATTTTGTAACCATTTAGTTACTTTTAAAGGGTTTCTTTCTTGGTTGTGTGTTTGCCGTTACAATCAGTTAGTATGCATTGCCCTGACATTGGCCCCTTTTTCACCTCTGAATGCTATTGGAGAGGAAGGGGATTGTAAGAGGAGAAGCAGGCACACAAAAGGGAATCCACATTGAATAGAACGTACTAGTGCCAGTTGTTTGCCCAGCATACTTGCAGCTCAGTCCCTGGTGTGCTAGGCAAATAGCCAGTGCCACCAAATTCTTTCCAATGTATATTCCTCATTGTGTGCTGGCTAACTCTTGTAATCTTGTCCTCTCCAAAGAATGTAAATGCATAATTCCCTTCTTGCTAATTATCCCAGCACCACATGAGCATTCTAAAGGGTGGAGAAGTAAGGAAAAACATAATATTGTAAGCACAGTTGCTTTTCACTTAGTAACTAAGATGCTGGTCACAGCTGTGATCACTAAACAAGTACTACTTGTCTTTAAAGGAGTTGCAAAAAGGTTCTGTTTGAGCACCTCTGACACACTGAATATTGTTCTTGAGCACAGGTGTCAGACTTGCAGCGTCACGTTGCTGTAACATGACGTATCACGTTTTCCCCCTTTGCGGAGCTGGGGTGGGTGTGGCCTGTGCATGACGCATCTGGCCTGCAGGCCACTAGTTTGACACCCCTGTTCTTGAGCATCTATAGATAAACTTTTCAACTCTTGACTTTTTTGAGTAAAATATCTGAAAAATCCTACTGGAACAGCTAAACTTTGTATGGGCTGATCAGACTTAGTTTAATTAATGGCAGGTGTGTGGTGACCACTATTTGACATCAGTTTGAATGTGATTGGTTAATTCTGAACATATCCCTACTTATAAGAGAGTGTGACTTATGCAGTCACATCATTCTAGTTTTTTAATTTCTCCCCTTAACAGATTTAAGTTTGTTTTTAATTGAATTGTACAATGTTATATTAAGGGTGGAAAAAATTCTGAAATATCTTGGTCTGGTTTTGTTTTACATCTCAAAAAACCTAGTATTTTAACAGGGATATATAAATTTTCTATATCTACTGTATATACTTATGTGGCTTATTCAAGGAGACTATGTTTTAACAACAAATCCAATCTTTTAAAATTTTTAAAAAGGGAACAGCAAAAGTATTCTCTTATGCTCAAGACATACTGTTGTTTCTGGTTTAAGCTTGAGAGGTATACTTTGAAAATTCAATATATAATTTTAGTAGAAAGCCCTAAAATTAGAATTTGTTAACATAACTTGCTCCATTCTTTGTCTAAGCTGTTCTTGAATAGGAAGATTGGATAACAAGTGTTTGAAAATACCCAAGAAATTGCTGTGAAATATAAAGGCTTTTGTTATATTTGGACCTGATCTGATTCTAGCATCTTGTCTAATACCAGTTTTGGACTGGCAAAGACTATGTGGCTGAATTCTTTGTCTAAGCTGTTTTGGGATAGGAACATTAGGTAACAAGCAGTTTAGACATGCTCCAATCAACGTTAAAACACCCCTCCCCTGGCCATTGTAATGCCAAGAATTGCAGCTCCTTACTTTAATAATAATATCTAAGGACAATTATTTGTAGTTTAAGAACAAACTCATTTCAACACTTTTTGATTACTGTATTTTCTAACACTACAATATACTCAAGATTATTTATTCACATAAAACTTTACTTACATTTTTTCATCACCTTTTTATTTTTCTAAACTTTAGGTTCTTATGAACACAGAGACTGGAATATTAAAAATTTGTTTTCTAGTCCAACCATGACATTATTTAGTTCACTATTTTCTGTACTGATTGGTACCAAACAGCTTCATGGTAGGATATTCAAGTTAATCTTTATTTATTTATTTATTATTTATTAGTTTGATTTATATATGCCCCTTCTCCGGAGACTCAGGGTGTCTTACAATGCATTAAGCAATAGCCTTCATACTTTTGTATATACCTGCTTAGTAGGGCTTTTTGGCCCCCCCGAGTGGTGTTCTATTTTATACAAAGTCAGCTTATTGCCCCCATAAACCGGGTCCTCATTTTACCTACCTCGAAAGGATGGAAGGCTGAGTCAACCTTGAGCCTGGTGAGAATTGAACTCGCAGTAATTGCAGGCAGCTGGCAGCTAAGTACTACTTTAACAACAGGAGTTTAGTCCACAGCGCCACCAGGCTGTTTATGATATATTTAGGATTTCTGATCATCTTTATTAGCTCTATAGATGCATAATGATTAAGAATCTTTTCACTTTTTTTTTTACAGAGAGAAGAAGAAAGAATTAGAACGTGAAGAATTGTGGAAAAAGCTGGAAGAACTCAGACTCACCAGAACTTTGTCTAACCAGCCAAGTAATACCTCCTCCTCCTCTCTGACAAATATACCAAATGATAGTGCCAAGTGAGTGTGAAAGCCTCTGTTTGTGAGGCCTACCTTTTCTATACAGATTTTTTTAAAAAAATATGTAAAAAAAATGCAGAAGAGAAACCTCATCAGTATCTTTGAAATGGCCATCCCACCCACAACATGTAAATGAAATATTTTTGAATTGAAATACAATAATTGAATGTGATACTATTTACCATAGCATATTGTAAATTTGTCTCTAATCATTGCTATGTTGTCAACTTTTGACATCTCACAGAAAGGAATTTTATCATCCACGAAGTGTGTGATTTAATTATGGGAATGGTGAAATTTTGACTTGAAGTTTTTTTTTCTCCTTTTTTTAATTGTGTTGCACTTAGGCATAGATGTCAGGTAGCTACATTTTCTCCTTCCTATGTGCTTTTCATAGTGCTACAGCCTTTGGCTGAGACTCAGGAAAAGACTTCTAGCTTTACTGTATTTCCTGAAATGAAACTGATAATCTAGTATCAAGTTGATGGGATTGACTCCCATGAAGCTTGGTGGGGTTTGCTTCTGAATAAATGTGTATCACTTGAGTTGAATCTGCCCATTACAATATCACAGGTCAGGCTATTTTATAAGAATGTTTAGTTTAGAGAGATTAAGATTCAAAATTATATGAGGGACCTTTTCAAGTAGAAAAGACTTGTTACTGAGGTGGTAAAGTGGGCTATATAAATGGATAGAGACAAGGAAAGGGAGTAAGATCAACTTAGCTGAGTTGGGCTTCTCTCTCAGATAATTGTAATTTGGACAGGAGTTAGGCTGCATTATGTGTTTTGCTTCAGCAGTTATGTGAGCTCTGAATGAGGAAAGATTGTTAACTTTTAATAAAGAATTATTCATATAGTTCTCATGCTTCCTCTTAGAAAAGATTCAGTAGTCATGTTTCTGTTCCCATAACTAAAAATTGGAACCTATCAATTACACTCTATAGTTTGGCAAATGTTTGTAGAACCTAATCGATCTTGCTTTTTTCCGACTTTTATTTGTGTTTACTCATGCCATGGACAGAGGGTTGGACTAGAAGACCTCTGAGGTCCCCACTAGCCCTATGATTCTATGATTCAACCTGGCCCTGAAGGATGGCCTAGCTGCTCCATTTAAAGTTTAGGCTGTGTAATTTGTACGCAGACATGCAAGACAGCTCTTTGTGTTAAAGAAAAAGCAGTGCTTGAGATGGCAAAAAAAATGATTCTTAAAAGTTTTGTCTGTTTTTACTTGATCAGTGGGGTGCTTTTTTGCAGATCTTTATATCAGAGTATCATTCCAATCTCTTAAATTTCAATTGTGTGGAAAATGGTTTTGTATTGAAAGACTGAGGGATTGAGCAGCATTCAATAAAGTCTTTATGTTTGTAATTAGTGCTGTATATTACCATTTTTGTAATTTAATAATTATAAATAGGAGAATGGTTAGATTGATGGGCTATTTTCCAGCAAAATAGTAACATTTAATTAAAAGATTTAAATAATAAAATTAAAGCAGGTAGCAATTATCAAACTGATATGAAGGTAGTTTGACAAAATAAATGTTGATATTCAAATTTTAGTTAGCCTTTTTGCGGAAAAACAACAACAATGGGTACTATCTGGTGGTGCATGGTCAGTTGTACACATTTGGGTGGGACTTTTGTTACTCAGATCTGCTCCAAAGCCCCCCAACCCCCGCACATTGCAGACTAGTTTTTAGGAGAATGGGATAGACTGGGAAATTACAGGAGAAAAGCCAATTCATTCCACTTAATGGATATTATTCATTTTCGCATAACATCAAATTGTTATGGCCCTCATCTACTCTTCATTTTATTGACTAAACAAAACAAGATTCTATCTTTAATGCAGAAGGTATGTTCACACTTCAAAATAAAATGGATGCCTTGCACATATTCATCTTTATGTCTACAAATATTTGCAATTAAATATAATGATAGTATTTTGGATTTGTATGGGCAACATTCCAAAATATAAACATGATCATGGACCCGATCATGCTTCACATGATTCAAAATAACATACTGTAGATTTCTTTACTATATTCTACTGCCTTTTCAGAAGGTGGCAGAAAGCTAATGCAGAATTAATGGTTAACATATCTTTAAGTAATTTTCTTTATCATACCACCATAATCTGCTTGGAGGTTTTAAACAGGAGAAAAATATTTTAAGTAAATATAAAATGTGTATCTAAACTAATCTAAATCTTTCTCATTTAAGGAATAATAATCTTTGTAATATTTCATTATTACATGTGTTTTCTCTTTTTATTGCTTATGGATTTATGAGTAAGTTTTCTATCTATAGGTTTTGGAAGATGTCTGATTTATTATGACAGTATTAATATTTTAAGTAAGTGTAACAGAGGTATATTTTATTGAAAAATCTTTAGCATAAGTATTATTTAATAAGAGCGCTCGATAAAATTCCTATTTTCAATGTTTGGTTTTGTTTCAGTAAATAATAACTCTTGCTAAGACAAGAGCTATTTTTAGGTTTATTATACTGTATTCTGTGAACAGAGGAGTAGGCAAACCAAAATTGACATGTGGCACCACATCCCCCCAAATCTGGCAGCATATTGCATCATAGCAATAGCACTTAGACTTGTATACCACTTCACAGTCTTTTACAGCCCTCTCTAAGCAGTTTACAGAGATAGCATATTGCCCCCAACAATCTGGGTCCTCATTTTACCGACCTCGGAAGGATGGGAGGCTGAGTCAACCATGAGCCGGTGAAGAGTCCTGGCAATGTGAGCAGTTATCCTGCAATACTGCATTCTAACCACTGAGCCACCATGGCTCTTATAATCATCACAATGCCTCCAGTAGTTATCAGATATCAGCTGTCCTTTTTATAAAAAAGATTGTACCTACTTTTGCAGCTAAAAGTCCAACACATAAAAGAGCTGAAATCCAATAGAGAATGTATTAATTAAGTTAGGAATGGTAAGAAATCAAACTGTTATGTCCTACAGCCATCCAATATTGATCAATCTCTTTAGTCATGCTTTTGGGATTAGTTGTTAATCAGTGGTATGTTCAATATACAGTTAGTGCATATAGTTTTAACAATGTGTTTTCATCCCTTGGGAATATGTTTGTCAGAGCAATAGCTGGAATGTAAGTGATTCTTAATGCTGAATCAGAATCCAATAAAACACTGTTCCCTCTGATTGGCTGCATATCCAGTGGAAGGCCTTGAAGCAAATGTCTTTGTCCCTGAGTTGATTAGTGATTGGACTCAATGTTTGGGAACAGGATTAAAACGAAACCTATTACTGGTAGATAACTATATTTTAAATTCCCATTTTTTTTTTTAAAAAAAAAAGCAATCTACTTCATCCATACAAATTGTTTCTTTTTTACAGGAAGTTATTTTTTTTTCAGGAATATTATTACCACTAAGTAGCAGCTTGTAAAAGAAATCATATTTTTGGAAAAGACTGTGGATTTATAAAGAGTCAAATCATTTTCTAAAACTTCCAAATGTTAAAGTTCAGTCCAACAAAGCAATTTGTCCTTCCATCAATGCAGTTTTCTTGTGTAACATAGACGTTGGTTTAATCATCCTAGTTGAACTTCTCAGTGAAAGAGAAATCTGTGAAGCACATTGTTTTCAACTTATATGGTTCAAGGCTTGAGTTTTTCTCTTGAGATGCCGTTTTCGGATTTTTATCATCCATTTCACACTCAGCTTGGCAAAATCAGCTGCTTTAAACAAAGCCAGGAATATACCACACAAAAGAGCAATCATGTTCCAAGGATTTGCAGTGACAATCTATGAAAATAAATTAAAGGAATCATTTAAACTGTTGATTAAAGAGCTACTGTTTACTTTTTATTATGGAATGTCTTATAATAAAACACTTGGTTTATACCGGTAATAAGCATACTAAACTTTTATTTACGGTTGCTTCTCCAAACAGACCAAGAGAAAAGATTGCACTTCAATATCATTTTCCTTGTTACATATTCACATGGCTAAGATGGAGATTTTTTGTTAATAGAGCAATATCTAAAACTGGTTTATTTGTCTTGTCTACAATGATGCTTAAAAGTTGGTGAAACCTTTTGAGTTGTCAATATTGGTGCATAAATATGACCTAAAATGTTATCAAATATGTGGCTTTGAATCACTTTCCTCAGTAAACAAAAGAATAAGTATAATGTTTTTGACCTATTTGTTTAATTTGGTTCTTTTTAACTAATTTGGGACATGTGTGGAGAGGTGATAACATTTTAGGTTATGCAGAAATATTGAAAATTCAAAAGGATTCACAAATGTTTAAGCACCAGCGGATACACCTACTTTTAAGATGTAATCAGATATACATTTTCCATGGAATAAGATGCCATGAAAGCAACGAAACTTCCTTCTCAATAGACATGTTACTGCTAAAATGTTATGTTTCCATAAATGTCTATGAAGATTCTCAGTCATCCAGGTCATGGTTGCCAGAGCTGAAGAAGCTTCTTGGACGAGAAGCAAAATGTCTTCAAAGAAAAACCAGAAAGTCCAGTTGCCATTTGAAAAAAGCACCTTTGGGACATTATGTTTCCATAGTAATTATATTTCAGACAAGTCACAGTGTAAAGCAGCAATCAATAGATCTTCATCTGGAAGTCTAAGGTGCAAATTTCTAGCTATTCTGACTACATTCCAAGTACAGATAGTTCTTGATTTAAAACCATTCATTTAGTCACCATTCAAAGTTGCAGTGGCACTGAAAAAAATGATTTATTTATTATTTATGACTATTCTTCACACAACTGTTGCAGCATCCCCATGGTCACATGATCAAAATTCAGATGCTTGGCCAATGGTTCTTATTTATGACAGTTGCAATGTCCAGTGGTCATATGATCACCTTTTGTGATCATATCATAAAGTTGGTCACATGATCAAAATTCAGATGCTTGGCCAATGGTTCTTATTTATGACAGTTGAATGTCCAGTGGTCATATGATCACCTTTTGTGATCATATCATAAAGTCAATAGGGAAGCCAGATTCACTTAAAGACTGTGTTACTAACTTAACTGCAGTGATTCACTCAACAACTGTGGCAAGAAAGGTCATAAAATGGAGCAAAACTCATTTATGAACTGTCTTGCTTAGCAGCAGAAATTCTGGGCTCAATTGTGGTAAGTCGAGGCCTACCTGTACATCATCTTGAAAATAGTGGATGTCCTATTTGTGCTCCCAATTTATACTTAGGTTGGCACTTTACATCAACAGAAAAATGATCCAAGTTTACTCACATCTTGAACTTCCTGAATAAAAGGATCTTTCCATTCAAACACTACAAAAAATAGTTGGTCAGTGTCAGCTTTTGTCCTTCGTTCAATGTAGTTAACCACGCTAATCTGACAAAGGGAAAAAATAGGTGATTATTCATATATAACATACCTGCTGTGGGACTAAGTTGAGTGGAAAAATAGGAACATTACCAAGATTATGTACAAATGAAGCATGCAAATAACCTGGGCTTCTAAAAGATAAAGTAAAATGGGGGAAATTCCAAAAATGGCTGAAGCATGGAATGTAGCCAGCAATAAAACTTTTATTTTTCAAACAAGCAAAATGGGAGAGCTAAAGGACATACAGTACAATGCCTTCAAGAATGGCTACTCCTTTTTTTTTTTTCTTTTACAGATAAGTGATGGGGGAAAATGCTAGAAAAAAATTGAGGAAAAGTCTTAATGATTTAATTCATAGGTCTAATTCAGTGGTGGGTTCCTCCCGGTTCGGCCCAGTTCAGCCGAGCCGGTAGCGGTGACAATATGACATCACCGAACCGGTTCTCTTATTCTTACCTTTTATTTGGCCCTACCCCCAATCTATTGCTGCCTCCCGAGTCCTAGCTGATCGGCTAGAAGGAAAAAAACCTGTTTAAACTCTTGCCACGGGCTTCAAAGGGCCGCCCTACAGCTGATCAGTGTTAAAAGGCAGTGTGGTGGTAGACCGGTGCCTCCAAAAACGAATGAGTAGACCGGTACAGCTCTGCAAGCAGTTAAAAGCCTGGTAGACCAGTACCTCTGCTAAATCCTAAAGAATTGTCACATGACCATCAAGCCACACCCACAAAATAAGCCACACCCACAGAACCAGTAGTAAAAAAATTTAGAACCTACCCCGATCTAATTCCTCAAATGTATTTCATTAGGAATTTAATGATGGATCTTTTTTTTTTCTTTCCTATTTGTTGCCTTCAGGACGTAGAGGCCAGTATTTGTCAGGATCAGCTCTACCATTAAGCATTACTATTAATCTGCCCCTTAGGGCAGATACTGGGGAATATGAGGGCACGTGCTAGTGCATCTGAGGGGGGGAAACTGTAGGCTGTGAGCAATCTGCCTACTATCCCAAGCATTGTGAAAGATACCATTCTATTGTCAGTGCTGAAGATTAAGTTACCAGTTTAGCTAATTTGTAATTCAGAATTGGAGGGGACATCTAGACTTTGGTGTCTGGCATAAAAATTCCTTAGGAAATCCCTGAACTCCATATTAAAATTGTGATTTAAGTATCTAAAGGTGAGCGAAGGGAAAAACTTACCTACCTTAATACTTTGCTGGTTGATACTTATAAATAGCAAAGAAATTCTGCAAAGTCTTCACTGAGTACTTTTTCAACCTTTAGTGGTTCACTGATCCACAAAACTCAAGATGGTACAACAACCAACAGCAACAGAATCCCAGCTATTTGTACAACAATAAAATCTATGTGGTCAGAAAGCCTCATGAGACATCATTACCTCCTGCCTGAATTCAACTGCCATCAAACCATTTTCTTCTTTAGTTTTCACCAAAGACATTTTGACCCAAGTTCGGAAACCTCCAGAGAATTTCCAACTGGAATAGGAGCTCTCACACACTTTCATAAATTCCGACTTGTTTGGACTGTAATGGGAAGAAATGTTATGTTTAGACAGATTATTATGGTTTCCTTTGAAGCTTTGTTATGTGCTCCTGGCTTTACAGATTGTTGTTCTGATTATGAGCTTCCTTCAGTCTCTCAGTATGTTCATAATACTTTTCATGGAACCTGTTAAAATCACCTATTATCACCTGATATTTAAAAAAAAAGATTTGTTATTACTCTTTGTGCTATTTGGGAATCTCCATGTTGTAAAGCTTTTCAGTTTTAGCTTTATTTCAGTTATATTGTTCTTTAAGGTGAATGAAATGATAACATAATTTTGGTAGCCACTTGCAGCAACAGTCAACACAGAGCAGGTCAATATTATTTGCACCCTGAGGATGCAAAAGTAAAGCCACGGGCATCTATGGGAATGGGACAGCAAATAACAAAAAAGAATTTCAACGTAAACCACAAAGTTTATTATATATGTCAGAACACAAGTACAAAAGCTGGTGTTTGTGTTGTAACATACATTTTACCATTTTCTCATCTTCACAGTTTGACCTCATATTTATGGTGAGGACCTGAAGCTAAGAGAATTCTGTCTTGCCCTAAGAACAGCTACTGAGGTTTTAAAGAAATTCAAAATTATTGCATTATTTATCACTTAAACTTCAGTTATGCCTCAAAATCTTTCCTATGGCTTTCCAAATATTTTGGTCCTACAATTCCTCTTAGTCTAAGGCAAGATGAATTCTGATGAAATTGAGCCTTTACTCCAGAACCTGTGGAGGAACCCATTCTGTGAAGAGCTGCTATATACACTTATTCATCATCATCATTTTAGCCATTGTCTATCCACTGCAGGATGAAGGCCTCTTCCACATATTTCCAACCAATACGGTCCTGAGCTTTCTTTTGCCAATTGAGCCCATAATACTTGCTATCCATCTTCTTTTAGGTCTCTTTGATGAGCGCTTTTTATCAAGTGGAATCCATTCTATGACTGCCTTGGTCCATTTGCCATCAGTTCTTCTTGCTATGTGACCAGCCCATTTCCATTTCAATTCTTTTACTCGCTTGATGATATATTTTAGTTTATTCTTTAATCCATGTGCAGGTCTTTCTATCTTGTTTTAAGCCTAACTGAATGGTTTTGACTTGCATGTTATACTAGTTTGCTGGTCTTTGCCTTTGCTCCAAGCATAAAGACCTATCCTGCTATTGTTTGGGGAAAAATTAAATTCCTCCTTCACAAGATCATGTTAAAAATTCCATTGAAAATAACTATTTTTTTTAAAAAAAATATCCAGGCACACATGGATTTAATTTTTCAAATGAATGAATGAATGAATGAATGAATGAATGAATAAATGCTGGAAGGATTAAGACTCCTAGTTCTGTGCAGAGTACATTGGACTATCATGCATTTCAGGTAGAGTAAGTAAAATATGGAAGTAGAAGTTTACATAGCATTTAATTTAGCCTTTTGTTCTTTAGAACTTGATTTTTTTGGTGTGTGTGTATTAAAAATCTCAGACAGAACTTTGCAGTCTTTCAAATACATTAGCAAAATTAGTTCCAACCTCACCTTGGAAAGTGCAATGTAACCATGAGACTATCACACAAACCTGAGCTTTTCTTATGGCTGCAAAGCCACAGTCAGTGCGAAATGTTATCAGGTGGAAAGGAAATGACATTTAGAGACAAATTTAACTGGCAGTAGCAATTGCAGGAGATAAATTAATGTTCAGTTAAAATTACACATCAGGCACAAATATATGAAAATGAAATGTAAAAATACTGATTTTATGGATTATAAATC